GAAGGATTGACCTGGCTACACCGCCGAAGGAAGATGGCAAGGGAGGAAGAGTACGTATGAAGAACATGGCATCAACCAGATAGGCATTGACTGAATATGGCTCATTGTTAGCAGCTGTCCCCAGTGCCTCAAGCTTTTCCATGAACATACTCTTTGCAGTCTTATTAATATCCCCTGTGATGTGACAAAGAGAGAACGGAACTGGTGAGGGTGCAACAAGACAGTGCCCAAATCAATCTTCTGCGGCACAGCAAGATACGCGAGTCTTCCGAACAAATCTCTGGTGCAGCCGACCTCCCTGATCTTTTGATCTTTGGCGGGGAATTTCATCTTTACTGCATCTTGAGCGAAGTTCTTCACCTTCTGGCGTTTGATTGGTTTCTCGAATCTGGCTGGGTCTTCCTTGCACTCATTGACAAATTTCTGATGCCATTCTGAACCTTTCTCTTGCAATTGCAGAAGATCATCCTTGACAGTGTCAGAGGCAGCCTTTCCGGTCGCGAGACAATACAGTTTGTCATCACCAGGAATGAATGGGTTCTGGGTGCCTTAGATTTCTCTGATGAGGTCTGGGAGATGAGAATTGTCTTTCTCAATTCTGGCTGGCGTTAATTCTCTGGACACTTCTTCTGGGGCTGTTAATCCTGCCATTTCTAACAGATAACTCACCACTGAACCTCAAAATGAACGTGTAACTGTCCAGCGCTTGCGTGCACTTACATTTTGCGTAAATGCGGCAATATCCCCATGCCTTGAAGCAGCATCTTTATTGACGGTCTGCTCTAGGGTTAAATCGACCGCACTTCTAGGAAACGACTTGCCGGTTCGACGGATGGATAGGGTACCAGCATCAAACACATCTCTAATACCAGGATGAGTATGCTCCATGTTCATGAGGTTGAGGGGATAGCTTGATATCCATCTTGCGTAGTTTGGACGATGTGTGGCGAAGAACATGAATATCATCTCACCCAGTGCAAATATGAACAGAGTTGTGTCATTAGTTTGACATGCACGGTCGAGGAGGAGGTACAGGTGAACTAGATCAATATACAGCATCCAGTACTGTGCAGTAGGACCATGACGTCCGGCTCTCGTTTCGTCGCAGTATTGCACATATCTCTCAAGCAAATTCACAATGGCAGAGGAATCAATGAGAGTAGACAACGATCCAGGGCTCGGTGCTTCAGAAAAGGCATTCAGCAATGCCATGCATTCATCAGATATGTGTCCATGGGACTCCAGGAATTGCTTGAAGTGAATGATTTGCAACGCTGTCGCAAACAGGGGATGCAGACGCTTACTCCTGTTGAAGTGTTTCTCGCGAATGAAGCCACGCATGGAACCAGAAGCTAGCACATCAGAACCACATTTTGAACCATCCTCAAGATGATTCCAAGCAAAATTTGTCATGAAGATATCGAAAGCTCCAAAGCACACAAAGACATAACCAAAGAGGAGAGATTCCTGAGCCTGTATCTGCAGGGCTGGCTTTGCAATCGCTACGTCGTACGTCACAACTGCATACTTATCACCGCATTCTGATGCAACCTTCTGTGATCTTGCCATCGTTTCCCTTACAACATCCAAATTTGTCGGGGGCAGCTCTATGTTCTCCATGTAGCCTATGACCTGTCTTGGCAGTGGATCATGACACACCAACGAATTCCAGCCATGCCACATCGGTGTCTTCGTATGGATACAACAACAAACCATCCAAATCATGGTGAGGATAGGCCTACACGTTTTCACTAGACTCTTACAGCTTGTCAATTTCTTAACTCTCATTTTAGGGCAACACATTATAGTGTAGGGTCTTACCAGAACTGATGACTACATCTCCACTATTTGAAATGATGCTGTAAAAACAGGAATCTACATTATTTGTTTCAAGAACATTATACTTGTTACATTGTTATACAAAACAATCCTTCATCATAAGACAGAAGATCAGTTATTTGTGAGAAGTGCCATCTCGTGGTGAAAATCGTAACTTGAGACATATATGGGCTGAGAGCTAAAAATGCACATTATCTACAGTGCTGTGGGCTAGTCTAACCTCAAGATATTGCTTCAAAAATGGTTTTACAAACTTACCTGGCATCTTATCTAATAAAACATATTCGCTTTATAAAAATATTTGTTGTCTTTCCTACTAAACTGGGCTTGGATAAGAAAAAAGGCAGAATTATTAGCTCAAGGGTCGTCACGTGACCTTTGACCCCCTACTGACCTGTTAAAAGTTTAATTTGCATATTTCTTGATTTGATCCAATGGAGCTTACCACGATGTTCATTTTGACACCTAGATCTCTTTTATAGGTCCATTAATAAGAGTGCATTTCAATTTTGAAGTTGCCCTACCCCACTTTTTCGCCAGATAGTCCATACCGGACTGAGAGAAAAATGAGAGAAAAGGGTTATTTCTGGCTAAATGCCCCGGCTGTGCCATTCAAGCAGTTCTGTTTTGGATACCCGATGGGATACCCCTTTCAGAAATACCAATGAAAGACTCTCTCATTTCATGCAAATAAACGACCCCTGGCTCCTGGACTATTATGAATGCACAATGCCATTTAGAAAGTGGTCAAATGTAACAAATGTTATATTTGGGATAACACTTTCTTAGAAAAGAACAGACTACCAGTTGTCGGACTTTCATTTTTGTGGAAGTCTTAGTGTCTGAGTGGGTTAGATCGCTGACTTTGAGTGCTGGCGATTAGGTGCTTCACTCTGGCAAGAGTGGGTTCGAATCCCGGACGGGACTCAACCCCCCAAAAATACGAGAATCTGTACTTTACTAAGAAAGTGTTATCCCAAATATAACATTTGTTACATTGTTATCATTATAAAGGAGTCAAGTGCGCATATTTCTATAGTCCGTTTCAGACTACCATCATTGGACTTAGAATAAATATAAACTTCCTGTTTTCGTTCGAATTTGTCTCCTGTAAACTTGTAGATAGGACTCCTTGTGACTGAAATACTTCAAACCACAGGTAGAGCGATCAGTAGTTACTCGATAGTTCAATGACAACTGTCGGTGAAAAATTATATTCTTTTTTAACAGGCAAAAAGCAGTTTTCTAGCATTTCCGACAGTACTTCAATCCCCCTCTAAAACGTAAGCCAATGCACCTGACATGTTTGACAAAAGAACAACTCGGACAGCTGGCGCTATAAATAGTTTTCCGGGAAATTCCTGTTGAAACGAAAGACAATAGCACAATATTCGCACTGATAGAACATCAACACTTTGATACGCCTTTGCTGCTTTTGGAAGGAAACTCGAAGGAAGGTGAGACAGTACGAATGTTAAATTGTTTACAATATTTGTTTTTCCTAAACACGCGTAATCACGTGACACCAGTGTCCGTGATATATGTAAAATATCGTAGTTCACTTGGTCCCTCATGCCTGGCCTCGAGATAGCAGGCACTTTTAATCTTAATTTTAAATTTTAATCAAAACACTTACTGTGTTGTAATGTGTGTACTTATATCATGGATAAAATGTTATTTAAGGTTAGGTTTATCAGTTTTATTGATTTCATTATCGCGGTGTTTAAATAAATAAACGAAATATTTCAAATCCTATTCCGTGATAGTTATCACCAACGTTTTACATTCTCCCTCAACCGTAATCTACTGCAGACATCTACATATTCAGTTATTGTGGTATCTAATTCTGCATATTCAGTTATTGTGGTATCTAATTCTGCATATTCAGTTATTGTGGTATCTAATTCTGCATATTCAGTTATTGTGGTATCTAATTCTGGTTTCAATATTCTACAACGGGTGTTGTAGCATTTACAATTGATTTGCTTAATGCATGAACCGGTTTTAGTTTCACGAAAACGGTTTCGGTTTGTTCGTGGGTTCACATAAAACATTATTTCCGACCACGGGGACATATTACATATCTGACCAATGAACGACAGGGACTGCTGTCAAGGCCATCTGTTATAAATAGTTCACCTGGGAAATTCCTGGAAAATCGAAATCGAGAAAAGTCGTTAAAACGTTATTTGACCAAGGAACGGCTGGGATTCCTGTCAACAACAATGTTATGAATAGTTTACTGGGAAATCCATATTCCACATTGCATTATCAAAATATGTCCGAATACATTCAGAACAATTATCAACAATGATAGCGTAATCATTGAAGTATAAACTTACTTTCGAATTCCTGAAGTGTTTTGTCAATGATTTTCAACCATGATAAAAATATTTCACTGATAATGATTGTTTGTTTGTTTGTTTGTTGTCAACGACGCACTCAGCAATATTCCAGCTATATGACGGCGTCTGTAAATAATCGAGTGTGGACCAGACAATCCAGTGATTGACGTCGTGAGCATCGATCTGCGATGACATGCATCAATCAAGTCAGCGAGTCTGACCCGTTAGCCGCCTCTCACGACAAGTATGGATTGCTGAAGATCAATTCTCACCCGGAAATTCATGGGTCATGTGTTTATGAATCATTGTCAAATAGTGAGCGTATCTTGCCCCACCGGTGACACGACATTCTTTTATGTCACCAAACCCATTAAAATCACATCATGAAAAGGTAGGGTCCCGGGATAATACGACGTGAAAAGATTTTCAAGTCAATTGACACTGGATTTGCCACTCAGTCTAAGACTACATTATTATCATTATAACGGAGTCAAGTGCGCATATTTCTATAGTCCGTTTCAGACTGCCATCATTGGACTTAGAATAAATATAAACTTCCTGTTTTCGTTCGAATTTGTCTCCTGTAAACTTGTCGATAGACTACTTGTGACTGAAATACTTCAAACCCCAGGTAGGTCGATCAGTAGTTACTCGAAATTTCAATAAGAACAGTCTGTGAAAAATTATATCTTTTTTAACAGGCAAAAAGCAGTTTTCTAGCATTTCCGACAGAACTTCAATGCCCCTATATAACGTAAGCCAATGCACCTGACATGTTTGACAAAAGAACAACTCGGACAGCTGGCGCTATAAATAGTTTTCCGGGAAATTCCTGTTGAAGCGAAAGTTATAGCACAAAACCCTCACTGATAGAAAATCAACACTTTGATACGCCTTTGCTGCTTTTGGAAGGGAACTCGAAGGAAGGTGAGACAGTACGAATGTTAAATTGTTTACAATATGTGTTATTCCTAAACACGCGTAATCACGTGACATCAGTGTCCGTCATATATGTAAAATATCGTAGTTCACTTGGTCACTCATGCCTGGCCTCGAGAAAGCAGGCACTTTTAATCTTAATTTTAAATTTTGATCAAAACACTTACTGTGTTGTAATTTATGTACTTATATCATGGATAACATGTTTTTTAAGGTTAGGTTTATTAGTTTTATTGATATCATTATCGCGGTGTTTAAATAAATAAAAGAAATAATCCAAATCCTATTCCGTGATAGTTATCACCAACGTTTTACATTCTCCCTCAACCGTAATCCACTGCAGCCATCTATATATTCAGTTATTGTGGTATCTAATTCTGCATATTCAGTTATTGTGGTTACTAATTCTGGTTTCAATATTCTACAACGGGTGTCGTCTCATTTACAATGGATTTGCTTAATGCATGAACCGGTTTAGTTTCACGAAAACGGTTTCGGTTTGTTCGTGGGTTCTCATAAAACATTATTTCCGACCACGGGGACATATTACATATCTGACCAATGAACGACAGGGACTGCTGTCAAGGCCATCTGTTATAAATAGTTCACCTGGGAAATTCCTGGAAAATCGAAATCGAGAAAAGTCGTTAAAACGTTATTTGACCAAGGAACGGCCTGGATTGCTGTCAACAACAATGCTATGAATAGTTTACTGGGAATCCATATTCCACATTGAATTGTCAAAATATTTCCGAATACATTCAGTACAATTATCAACAATGATAGCGTAATCATTGAAGTATAAACTTATTTTTCGAATTCCTGAAGTGTTTTGTTAATGTTTTGTTAGGTTTATTAGTTTTACTGATTTCATTATCGCGGTGTTTAAATAAATAAAAGAAATATTTCAAATCCTATTCCGTGATAGTTATCACCAACGTTTTACATTCTCCCTCAACCGTAATCTACTGCAGACATCTACATACTCAGTTATTGTGGTATCTAATTCTGGTTTCAATATTCTACAACGAGTGTCGTGGCATTTACAATTGATTTGTTTAATTGCATGAACCGGTTTTAGTTTCACGAAAACGGTTTCGGTTTGTTAGTGGGTGTCTCATAAAACATTATTTCCGACCACGGCGACATATTACATGTCTGACCAATGAACGACAGGGACTGCTGTCAAGGCCATCTGTTATAAATAGTTCACCTGGGAAATTCCTGGAAAACCGAAATCGAGAAAAGTCGTTAAAACGTTATTTGACCGAGGAACGGCTGGGATTGCTGTCAACAACAATGCTATGAATAGTTTGCTGGGAAATCCATATTCCACATTGAATTATCAAAATATGTCCGAATACATTCTGTAAAATTCTCAACAATGGTAGCGTAAACATTGAAGTATACACTCCTGAAGTGCTTTGTCAGTGATATCCAACCATGACAAACATATTTCACTGATAATGATTGTTTGTTTGTTGTCAAGGCCGCACTCAGCAATATCCCAGCTATGTGACGGCGGCCTCTAAATAATCGAGTGTGGACCAGACAATCCAGTGATTGACGTCATGAGCATCGATCTTCGATGACATGCATCAATCAAGTCAGCGAGTCTGACCCGTTAGCCGCCTCTCACGACAATCATGGGTTGCTGAAGATCCATTCTCACCCGGAAATTCATGGGTCATGTGTTTATGAATCATTGTCAAATAGTGAGCGTATCTTGCCCCACCGGTGACACGACATTCGTTAGTAGCACCAAACCCATTAAATCATATGATGAAAAGGTAGAGTCCCGGGATAATACGACGTGAAAAGATTTTCAAGTCAATTGACACTGGATGTGCCATTCAGTATTCTAATGTGCATGGGCAACTGTTCTTAAATAAAAGTTCAACGCCAGAGAATATAAGAACAATCAGCCTGTTTTTCAGTGATCCATTCATATAATTGGACCCGTGAAGATTCCGGGGTAGAATAGGGGTAGACCGCCGTCATATAGATGAAATATTGCTGAGTGCGGCGTTAAACAACAAACAAACCAACCAACCAGCCAACCTTATAATTGTCACCACTATTTGCCTTTTATGCCCAATGAAATCTGTTTCTGAAGATAATAGAGGCTGATTATTCCCTAGCGTTGACGTTCAATGTTTCAATCATCTCAGGTAATAATAATTATAACAACAACAACAACAACAAACAACAATAATAATAAGACATGTATATTACGCAACAACAACAACAATAATAATGAGCCATGTATATTACGCATATTTCCACACAACATATGAGCATGCTCAAAGCGCTATTATTACCCACGTCACTTGGATCAGTGTGCACTGAACAATCATTCTCAGTTCCCTGGTGAATATACAACCCAAGCTGCCTGATAAGCGCTAGAAGGTTAACAGTCACATTCCCATCTCATCCTACCGTGTACCCATTCACTGCTGGGTGAACAGAAGCACATTTCGAACAAAGTTACCTGCCCAAGGAGACACCTCATGTGTTACATGTGCTTTAGTGTGGGGCAGGACCGAAGCCCAAGAAATTGTCAGGAGCCAAACTGCCGAAACGCGGTCACTCATCCAAGGACTCCCCGCGACTGACGTTGCTTCACCCGGTTTGTGACACATGCTTATCCTTTTCAAGAACACCTGGTGTCCTCACAATAATGTTAGGTCATCTCTACGTTTTCTAGGTGCGTTAAAGGGTCGGTCCCATCTTTTGTTTATCTTTTTGACAGAGGTACTTGCATGAATAGTTTTTTTGGTTTTGGTTTGGTTTGTCAGCTATATGGTCTACAGTAAATAATCGAGTCTGGACCAGACAATCCAGTGATTGATATCATGAGCATCGATCCACGTAATTGGGATCGATGACATGCATCAACCAAGTCAGCGAGCCCGAAACACCCGATCCCGTTAGTCGCCTTTTAGGACAAGCATAGTCGCCTTTTACGGCAAGCATGAATAGGTATTTGATTTATTGAGTTCAGTGTGTGAGATTGGTTTAAAGCCGCATTTAATAGAATATAGTTATATCGCAGCATGTCAGCTACATGTGGGAAGGAAAACTCCGAATTGATGCAGGTCTCAGACGTCTACCACTTTGGTGAAACCCACGAACATGGGTATGGTGCTGACACACCTGGAAACATAATCGGGGCGGGGAATCGGACCCACGATCAAAATTTTCCGGCGTGACCAATGGATCAACTGTGCACAGCGAATTGCGGCGCCTGAGACGACGGGCCACCCTTGCCCCCTATTGAGTTCAGTGTATTACTGTAAAATCTTCACTGAAACAATCATGATAATAGCAAAATAAAAAAATATACGGTATGAATTATCCCTTGAAGAGTACGAATCCGATTGTATCATTTACGAATCCGAATGTATCATAAGTATGTGTTTATGAATCACTATCAAATAGTGTTGACACCAGGTGTTCGCTAAAAGTGAGGGCGTCCTGCCCTACCTGTGGCCCCGTCACGAACACATGCAAAGGCAAGACCATGTCCCGATTTCATTTGACAATGTACAGGGGTAGTTTGTTTCATTAGGTCTTCAGCAACCCATGCTTGCCCTAAAAGGTGACTATGCTTGTCGTAAGAGGCGACTAACGGGATCGAATGGTCAGGCTCGCTGACTTGGTTGATGCATGTCATCGATCCCAATTGCGTGGATCCAAACTCATGAAATTAATCACTGGAATGTCTGGTCCAGACTCGATTATTTACAGACCGCCGTCATATAGCTGAGTGCGGCGCTAAACAAAAAACCAACCAAACCAACCAAGTTTGTTTCATTAGTCGCAAAGTGAAATGTTTTCAAAGAATGTGTGAGGAGTTTTTTCATAGCTCTAAATAATATTCCAGAAAATGGTTTCACACATTGTACCCATGTGCTGAACCCAGCTCTTCGGCGCGACGAGCGAACGCTTTAACCACATCCTGCAGTACGTTTGATAAACACTTCTGAAATCCTGGTATTCTCTATGACATTGTGTTATGACCACTATTCCCCTTTGTTAACATTTGCGATCCACAGTCATACGTAACTTGGCTTTCTTGTGTGTATCTGTCGACTTAGCTGTATAATTTCATTACAGTGTGCGCAATCTGACGAAAGATGGCATATTCATCATCGCATAGAGAGATGTCCTGTGCCTTTGAGAGGATGGCATTTCAGGACGGCTATTCTGAAGACTCAGAAGGATCAGGGTTGATGTACGCCACTTCAGATTTGAGGACCAAACAGCAACGTTTTAGGCAAAGTCGACCACCCATGAGCCCTGGACAGATGTGGACAGATGAAGAATTTTTTCAAAGCGAAGCAGTTACAGACTGTGCTACCCGGAAGATTGTTTGGAGAAGGCCAAATGTACGTAAATGGTATCATTAGTATAACGTGTACAGCGTAAAGGGACAGCTATTTGGAAACATAGTTGAATGTTTTTCACGGACTGCAGTCGCATGGCAAAAGTATTGCTGTGCGGAGTCCAGCTGTATGACGGCGGTTTGTTTACAAATAATATAGTCTGGACCAGACAATCCAGTGATTGACATCATGAACATCGATCCACGCAATTGGGATACGATGACATGCATCAACCAAGTCAGCGAGCCTGACCACCCGATTCCTTTTCGTCGCCTTTTACAGCAAGCATGGATTGCTGCAGACCTATTCTACTCCGTATATTTACGGGTCTTACATCACATAGACATGTTTGCATTGAATATGAAGAACCGTTTATAAAAGCGGGGCTTATCACCAATAGGGGCGGTCGGGTAGCCTAGTGGTAAAAGCGTTCGCACGTCACGCCGAAGGCCCGGGTTCGATTCCCGACATGGGTACAATGTCTGAAGCCCATTTCTGGTGTCCCCCGCCGTGATGTTGCTGGAATATTGCTAAAAGCGGCGTAAAACCATACTCACTCACTCACTCACTATCACCAATATGTCGGAACATGTTTTCTATAGGATAACATTGGGTGAATCATGGACGTCATTGTTGCAGACAATATGGTTGTTTCAGTATTTACCAACATGAGGAAACTGAACTATTGGTAGTAATGGCACGTAAACTATGTGACGTATCCAAGCTGGTTTTATCATTTCAGGAATTTCTCCGTAATCCGCAACTTTTTGTTGGTGGTGCTGAACGGTATGACGTTCAGCAAAAACACTTTGGGACGTGCTGGTTCCTGTCCATGTTAGCAAACCTTGCTGACAAGCCGCGCCTGTTAAAGAAGGTATGTGTAGTGTAACTGTACACACAAACAGCACCATTCCCGTGCTCGTTGGTTTCACCAAAGTGGTAAACGTCTGAGACCTGCATCACTTCGGGCTTTACTCCCACATGAAGCTAACACGCCGTGATGTTGGTTGGTTGTTTTACGCCGCAATCAGCAATATTCCAGCTATATGACAGCGGTCTGTAAATAATCGTGTCTGGACCAGACAATCCAGTGATTAATGTCATGAGCATCGATCCACGCAATTGGGATCGATGACATGCATCAACCAAGTCAGCGAGCCTGACCACCCGATCCCGTTAGTCGCCTTTTACGACAAGCTTAGTCGCCTTTTACGACAAGCGTAGTCCCTTTTACGGCAAGCCAGGGTTGCTGAAGACCTATTGTACCCCGGATCTTCTCGTGTCACTTTCAACTAACTGTCTCTATTCACAAACACCTGTTCACTGAGCGTATGTGCGGACTTTGCAATCGCAAGGGATTCACTTTATTCAAGCGTAAATCTGAAAGCTCCCTTTTCCCAGGTAAACGGGCATCAGATTCTCAGTTACTTGAATGAAATTGGTCTCTTAAATAAATATTCAAATACGTATGTGAAAAATTAATTGCTTGTTTTTAAATTTGGTGTGATGCTATTATCAACTGTCATTATTGAAGGATCTTTCCAGGAGGTTGAAGTACAGTAAATATGTTGTCCCCCCTGTGTGACACGTAACCCTATCATAATCGATGTAACTTTCACCAACCAGTGTTTTAAGCCAACACATTGCGGAGTATATTTTTAATATTGGCTAGCATTGTGCACAAACATCAGTAGCTTAAGGGATGACGTAATTTCTGCTGGCGTATCATGCAGGAAGCCGAGATACTGTAGGTCCCCACGATCCCCAGCGAGGTGGCCTAGCTTTGGTTACTGGTGGCCTATGAACCTGTGTTTTAAACTGTATAAATAATATTGTCATGCCCAAATATGTTTGAAAAAATATTTTCAATTATAACCTTGCATCTATGACTCATTTTGGAATATATCAACTTGGTCTCGTCCCTATGTGGCTGAAATAATGCCGATGCGACGTTAAATTTTAACTCACTCACTCACATACCGTAATAATTCTCGTAAGATGTTGATTCGCTTTCAGGAAGCTTATAATTTATCAAGGGAGTCAGTCGTAAAATATCCGTTGGTTGTACTGATTGAAACCGCTGTAATATATCTTTAATGATACATATACGTGGCACATTAAATAGTCAACAATTATACATCCTTGATGGGATATGAATGTATAATTTGCGGGCGTATTTCCTTTTTTGCACTCATTTAGGATTTATGAATATTGAGAAGTTTGTACAGCTGAAAAAGACATCTTCCATTATGTATTTACAATACTCTCACTTTGGTGTCTTGGATAGTCAAAATAATGTTAATTATTATCATGTCAAACAGGCATCATTCATTTATAACACAATCTGGTTCATCAGACGTCCTTGCGTTGAAATCACTCAACTAGAAATCAATAAAGACTGAGCCATTCCGACTGATGAGTCTATGTACATAATATTCTTGCGTTTAAGGTGATCAATGCTGAATCATACAAACCTCGGACTGACGGAATCTGCTGCTGCAAGCTGTGGAAGTTTGGAGAATGGGAGGACATTTATATCGATGACTATCTGCCCCTGTATCGTGTGAAAGGCGGCCTTCAGTTTTATGGCGCCATGTCCTGGACAGACTCTGACGAATTGTGGGTCTCCTTCTTGGAAAAGGCTCTAGCGAAGTACGCACGTCCTAGATGAGACACCCAATGCCACCTGCTTGTAGATTGTAGAACATGTGAAATGAACAGGATAACCATTACCTATTACTCTACCACATTTAATTTGCTAACTTTATGGACGAATGCACTGACAGTCATTTTAATTTTTTTATCCTGACGCCAAATATGCCTGTCACTCGTCCAACTATAGAAGTCGAGAGTTTTGTCTTCACATGAAGCTAAAGATTAATTATTAATTTCAATTATTATTCTGATTTGGTGTTGTTTCTCTGTCTGTTGTTAACGCAGGGAAAATTCAGCCTAATGACGGCGGTGTGTAAATAATCCGGATTGATATCATGAGCATCGATCTACGCAATTGGGATACGATGATATGCTTCGGACAAGTCAGCTGGCCTGGCCACCCGATCCCGTTAGTTTCCTCTTTCGACAAGCATGGGTGTCTTTAGGCCATTTCTAACCAGGATCTTCACCCTTCTAACCTAGATCTTGTCTCTTCAAAAAGACGGAGTACGTCTAAGAAATATATACATTTTATTGTTTAGGATGTACGGGTCGTACTGTGTTGTCGACGAAGGTGGCTTGCCGAGCGAGGCCTACCTGGCGCTGACGGGAGGTGTTTCCGAGACGGTTCTGATCACAGATTACATATCCAATCCCCGCAGTCTGTTCCGGCGACTTGACAAGGCGCTAAAGACACGCGCAATGGTGACATCTTGTATTCTTGTAAGTAGTATCTTCTATGTTTTATCAAATCAAAAGAAGATTGACCCATGGTTTCTCCTTTCTTTGGTGTCATAAACGCCATAATCTGACAACGTACGAGAGATGAGTGATAAGTTCCGATTGACAACGTTTTGTGGATAAACATCAAATAATTTGCATAGCAAAAGATTTCACTATTTCGCAATTCCTTCTATATCAGAAGCTCAGAACTTATAACGATTCTAACCATGAGCTCAAAACAGCTGGGATATTGACAGTTCAAAGACGTGTGTACATCGTTTGTATAATACCCAGCAGGCAAACTATACATACAAATAAACAGATTCCGGGGTAGAATAGGTCTTCAGCAACCCATGCTTGCCGTAAAAGATGACTATGCTTGTCGATAAAAGGCGACTAACGGGATCGGGTGGTCAGGCTCGCTGACTTGGTTGATGCATGTCATCGATCCCAATTGCGTGGATCGATGCTCATGATGTCAATCACTGGATTGTCTGGTCCAGACTCGATTATTTACAGACCGCCGTCATATAGCTGGAATATTGCTGAGTGCGGCGTTAAACAACAAACAAACAAACAAACAATCCTGTTAGATGTCTCCAGTGACTATCTGTCTGTTTCAGGAAGAATACAGCGGTGATCGTGGCCTAATTGGAGCACATGCGTATTCTCTGAACCAAACAGCCACGGTAAAGAAAAGCCTATTTTGGAGTACACCATTATGACATATGTATACCATTATGATATTCATAAATAGGTCGATTTTGGTATTTTCACATTTCTTATTTGGTCCGAGTTTATAACTGTGACTCTCTGTTTTCTTTTGTCATGAACGTTGTTAACATCAAATGAAGCAACGGAAACCTTTATTGTCTGTAAGGGCCCGTATTCTACACGTTTAGGCGTTCATGCTTGATCCCCACGGCTCTATGTACTGAGTTTTAAAATACCAAGACGGTACAGCTGATGATTTCTCCCAATACATTTGACTACTGTCCGTGTCGTAAGAGGCGATTAACGGGATCGGGTGGTCAGGCTCGCTGACTTGGTTGATGCATGTCATCGATCCCAATTGCGTGGATCGATGCGCATGATAATAATCATTGGATTGTCTGCTCCAGACTCGATTATTTACAGACCGCCGTCACATAGCTTGAAAATTGCTGAGTGCGGCGTTAAACAACAAACAAACAAACCAACTAACTCAAAAGGTAAAACTATGCTGGTCTTCCTCATCACCACCAGTACCAGATACGATAGGAATAAGGACAGGACTTATAATGTTTGATCAGGTAAGATGTTAACAGACGAAGGGTGGCGTTTCTGTGGTGATGTTCTGTAAGTCTGAAATGCAGGTGACGAGATTCAACGGGAAAGTTGTCCGTCTGATCAGAATAAGAAATCCACATGGAACAAACGAGTGGAAAGGAAAATGGAGTGACAGGTAAGTCTGTTTCGTGTTTAATACAGATGCCAATCTTTCATAGGGCATTTTGTAGTTCATTAAACATTTTGGGCACGGGTGGCCCAATAACCTATGCTCGTGAATTCGAGTCCGGTTCGCCCTGAATGATTGTGTTTCTAGTTTTGTCAGCACAGTGTCCGTGCTCTTTGGTTTGACTGGTAAACGCCTTAACTAGCACTTCGGACTTCCCTCCCACATTAAGCAGACACGCCACTGGAGTGTCCCAAACAACATATGATTATTGCATGAGCTGACTTAAATACATATTCAGGCTCTGTGATTGCATGTGTCATGGTGTCATGCTTTGTCACTGGCCTGTCACTGGTTTGCACGCTGCCGTAACATCTCAGCAATACTTCTGTAAACCATTTTCCCAACACCTGCATTTTAATATCAGAAAGTCGGCAAAAGCCTTCATGTATATATTCTATGGTCAACTCCACAGTTACCGGTACAGCTTCACTCCACTTCAGCCGACAAAGATTATGTTATTTATTCATACGTAATAATGTTTATTAACTTGCTGCATCTTCCACCCGCATTGCAAATGTGGAGAGTAGCATGCCATATAAATTGCTTTTTATTTGTATACTTGTTAGAGAAAGGGCATTGATGATTAATGTGTTATTTTATGTTTCTGAACACACTTAGTATAGTATACGACTTTGGTGTTGCAGGAGCCCTGAGTGGCAGACTTTGCCCGAAGGAGGGAACTTGCGCAGAGACAGAGACGATGGAGAGTTCTGGATGAGTTTGGAAGACTTCATGTCAAATTTCACGCAAACAACAATTTGTTCCCTTACTCCTGATTTTGACAAAGATGGACAATCCGACCCATTAAGTGAGTAGCCCTACCAGTGTTTATTCCAATAATTCCGGGAATAACGTAAATATTTGTATCCAGACAAATACACATCACAATTCAATCGTAATAGAGAAAACAGAAATTCTGAACATTAGTGTTCATTGTAGAAGTTGTAGGCCGCAGGCGCATGTGGGTTAGAATCCGCAACATATTTGGATTGTTCTCTTTCCTAAAATTGCCAATCATATCGAAGTTCTTTGTATTTGTTTAAGACTATGTGCTGAGGATATTTGGAGAGTGGGGACAAAAAATGGAAATCACCATTCCAGGGGCCTGTCGGAAGCCGATGTTTTCAGAGAAGTATAGAGGTTGTTGATCATTTTCCTATCAGCTGAAATCATGAACGTTGTTCTGAGTGAATGTAATGTTTTCATGCAATGTGACCATTTAAAAAACCATCAGTACTAATGTACATTATGGTATGGTCAGATTATATCAAACAATAACGTAAACATAACACTGTTATTGTTTCCATAATATTCATGACATTGCGCTTTTCCGGTTACTCGGTGTTTGTTACATATTCAATCATGATCTTGCGCCTGCACACCTTCTTTGCGGGAGTAACGTCATGATCACCCAAATGGAATTTCTGTCGTTTGTGAGCTTGAACTGAACAACCAATCAAAAGGATTCTTCTTAACAAGAGTTTGGCATAAATCTAAATTCAAAATAGTGACGTCGTTCGAGCGAACCCTCGACATATAAGTATGGGAACACTCACATATTTGTACCATACAAAATTTGTACCATACCATTTGCAGGTAACATATCGAGCACTGGACATCCTGTGCCTAATAATCCAAAATGATTTTAAACTGGCCAAATACAGGCTTTGGTTCAAATTTGGCAAATATCAAAGACAGGTGTCAGGATAAGGAGGAAAGCATCACCAAAATGCAACAATGTACATCATTTCAATGGTGTCTGTGGGTATGCTGCACACAAGGGTATAAAGGATGACACTGCTGAATCTCGTCATTGTATTAGTTTTACCACCGTGGCACTAAGACGACAATTTTGCCATGTTGACAGAATAAGGGTTATTGCATGGCTACAAGATGGAATAGTTATCAGAAATGTTGCCAGGCGGTTCCAAAAGGCACCATCTGTTATCCATAGTCCATGGCACAGGAACGAGACCCATGTTAACGACCTTATTCAGGCAGATCAAGTTCACCCACTGGAACTGAGGTCCGTTTTGTCATTCTGACATCTTTACGTCAAAGGATCACAACTGCAGGAGCATAGCGACTTCAAGTTACAGCATCCACGCATACGAATGTCAGTACACAATCAACCAGATACCGTCTCAGAGGTGCTGGTATCACCTCTAGGCGTCCAGGTGTAAGACCACCTCTACTGGCACGTCACAGAAGCTCACGTCTTGCATGGCGTCGAGCTCATCTCCGCTCGAATAGGCAGTAGTGGTCGCAGGTTTTATTACAGACCAGTCGCGTTTTTACATGCAGCTCAATGATGAGTGTTTCGCCATAGAGAAGATCGGTTTCAGTTAGGGAACGGGACCGGTTTGGTAGTGGCTAAGTGATGACATCGGGAGGCTTCGAATCACAGAACCCCACTTTATCATGTCAATGGAAATCTGACAGATAAACACTATAGGGACGGGATTCTTAGGTTAATTGTTCTCCCTGTTTTAACTGCTTTTGGGCCTAGTACCACACACCTTGATGATAATGCTTGGCCTTACAGGGCCTGTGTGGTTTATGGCTTCATCAGAGATCACCAGAACGCAGTTGCCTGCCTATTCGCCAGAGCTGGCACTGATAGAACACCTGAGGGACGTACTGGGACGACGTTTGCGTGCAAATCACCCCCCTCTTGTCAACCTGCAACATCTCGTTGCCACTTTAACTACTCTGTGAGACAGCGGTGCAGAGATTGTGTCCATTCCAGGAATCGTCATACACGTTATTGACACACTTCTTGTGACTTTATAAAATTACATTACTGGTCTTGAAGGCAATAATCTAGGTTAATTTTCACATATGTGGTCGTCATTTGATTAATCCTTTCAAAATCAGTATTTGCCTTTTTTGTACCATAGTAAAAACTGGGTGTTCCCATACATGATTAAATGAGCTTTTGTTAACAAAGAATTTTACTACGAATCAGAATGAACTTCTAGCTGGATATGTATTCTTGAGTCTTAAGCCAGTGAGAGGAAAGTCTTAAGATTTTCCATGTGCATTTTAGACTGACATAAAAACACGAGTCGAGAACCAATCTGATGTAATGTCACTGGATGGCTAAATCTAGTGTCATGTCATTCGAACTGGAGTCAAAGCTTTGGTGGCGAATGGGTCCTGGGTATTTAGCAGAATGGAGTGGAGATAGAATGCGTTTGTTATTCGAGGATGGATAACAGTTTATTTTACCTTGAACGTTATATACTGTCAGATCTAGCACCGACGGGATCCATCCCAATAGTGGTTCAAATCGTGCAGAAAGAAGTCCGCAGGAGCTTCTACTGCGACATCGGCTGTAGCTTATCAGACGTAAGTTTAAGACGAGCTTTCCTCCTTCGTAAAATACTGGGCAGACGAAGATTTGCACATGGATTCATTAACTTAACATAGTCCTCGTTTAATGTCGAGTAAAACTGATATTAGACTCAAACACTATATGTATATGAGTGAGTATGGTTTTACGCCGCTTCTAGCAAGATCCCAGCAATATCACGGGGGGGGGGGGGGGGGGGGGGGGGGGGGACCAGAAATGGGCTTCACACATTGTACCCATGTCAGGAATCGAACCCGGGTCTTCGGCGTGATAAACGAACGTTTTACCCGACCGCCCCTATATGTATATGAACATAAACATCACCTTTATTATTAATTTATCACATTGCACAAACCTGTTATAAAACTGAAGACAGATTTTCTGGCTTTGAACTTAGGATATTGCTAAATTATCAACGCAACAAACACGATGTTCCAATATATGTCACAATCAAAAGCATGGTCTTTATTACAGGCGAATGGCAGACGTATTCCTGACATTGAGCGAAAGCCGACACACGCTGCTGAACTCCAGCGTGTGTTCCGGTACACCCTGCCACCAGGCAGGTACATTCTCCAGCCCTCCGCAACTGGAGTGGCAACCAACAGGGAGTTCCTTGTACGGGTGTTCTCACCCTGTCCAGTCTTTTCAAACAAGTAAAATGTGTCCATCTGTACATCATTAGTCACTTGCCAATAGAATCTACACCGAAGTGCCGCTACATTGTACATTCGTGAAGAGAGATCATCCATAATATATGATCTATTTTAAATTAATTATTTTTAACATCGGAGAAATCATTTCCGTTTCCAGCTCGGATGTACACGTCGTGAGGTTTGGGTCAACCAGGTACATTTGTTATAAACTTATTAACAAAAGTTAACATCATGAATTTAATAATGCATTAATTCAATGTTTTTGTCATATTTTAATCGTTCTACAGTGTACTGAAACATCTTTACAGTCAAGTTGTCTCTATCGTTACAGGCGACATGCAAGGTCTCAAGGAATGACGTGTTGTCAGATTTCAGCAGCTGGTCATATTGTCCCCATATCATTAACAAATAACGTGTGTAGGTGTCGTGGTGAATAATAATACAAAGGGACATAACTCGTAGATTATTTTGCGTTTGAAAACAATCAGCAAGTAGACAAGGTTCACAAGGTACCCATCCTGCCCCTAGGACGACCTGGGTGCCATGACCCGTGAAGATTCCGGGGTAGAATAGGTCTTCAGCAACCCATGCTTGCCGTAAAAGGTGACTGCTTGTCGTAAAAGGCCACTAACGGGACCGGATGGTCAGGCTCGCTGACTTGGTTGATGCATGTCATCGATCCCAATTGCGCGGATCGATGCTCATGATATCAATCACTGTCTTGTCTGGTCCAGACTCGATTATTTACAGACCGCCGTCATACTGCTGAGTGCGGCGGCGTTAAACAACAAACCAGCCAAACCAATCGTTTATACTCGCAATTGAACAACCGGAGGATCAGAACATGTTTATAACTGATGTTATTGTCCCCGAGGAAAACAACGAAATGTTTATGTGTTTTTCATGTCAAATGATCATCTTAATACACAATTGTAGTGCATTATATTCGCTTAGCTATTTCAGTGTGTATTGTTCATTATATTCCTTTGCAATGACAGTTTGTGTAGTTTATCATTCTCGTTTGTAGCTATTTCTGTGTCTGTGACCCGTGAAGATCCGGGGTAGAATAGGTCTTCAACAACCCATGTTAGCCGTAAAAAGCCCCTATGCTTGTCGTAAGAGGCGACTAACGGGATCGGGTTATCAGGCACCCTGACTTGGTTGATGCATGTCATCGGTCCCAATTGCGTGGATCGATGCTCATGATATTAATCACTGGATTGTCTGGTCCAGACTCGATTATTTACAGACCGCCGTCATATAGCTGGAATATTGCTGAGTGCGGCGTTAAACAAAACAAAAAACAAACAAAAATAATATGTATGTTGTTCATGATATTCCTTACCAATTAGACTATTTTTAGTTATTACTGTTTATGTAGCCTAGGCAAATGCCATTTCGTGTTGTTCATAATATTCGTTTACCTTGTACAACTTGTGAGCATATATTGCCTTTAATTTGTAAAAACGGTTTCAAGAAAGAAATTGTTTGGGAATAGTTATTACATTAAAATAATATCACATTCCTTCGTAGATATGATTTCATACACCCGTTCTATCACTGCCCCAGCTGCGTCAGTTCGATGTCGCTGCTTACAGTGTCACACACTGGATTGTCTGTCGCTGGAGTGTCTACTGGCTGCCCTCGTGTGGCCAGAGTGTTGCCGAGTGCGGTGAAGGTCAGCAGACAAGCAATTATGTTTCTACTGAACTGTATTGTCTGAACTGGTATTGGTTCCTGGTGTGCCCAAGGGACGCAACTTTGAACCTTAGGCCACCCGTGCCTTCTCGGCAAGTTAGAAGTGTTTTTTTTATGCACACAAATTCCTAGCGATGATGCAATGAGATGATTATGATTGTAGTGTGCGCTTTCTAAATAGGAACGGAATCTTACAAAGGTCGCTTGATTTTCTTAAAGGGTGACCCTTTCATTTCTCCATATATTTGAGACCGTGGTGTCTTGAAGGAACAGCGCTAGGGATAAGGAAGGACAATATCGGCATCACTGTTAACTGGAACTTTAAATACACAGCATATAAACAATACAACATCAAATACACACGGCATGGAATACCAGCTCTGACATCACAAACACAACGATGGTCAACTTTCGGGCGTGTCCTCCGGGCGGCACATCATGCTCGGGGTACACAAGACAACCTGAATATCTACACGACGTTGGACATTTTACACCGCTACACAAATTAACATCTATTGCAATTGCTCATTGAAATGGACTGTGCGGAGTATGATATCAATGGGGGTGGGCTTATAATAATAGAGCATCTGCTGACTTAAGACGCTCCTTAAGATTGTAAGAAAAGATGGATGTCTTTATCGTTACAAAAGTCAACTTTATCTGAATGTCGAGCAATGTTCAGTAGCTCCAGCCTTTGGTGTCAACATTTTACATTTTCGCAAACACCTGGTATCATCACTGTTTGATAGTGATTCATAAACACATGCTCATGATATAGTCGGAATCCTACAATGGACTCAATGAAATTGTTTATGGAATTTTGTTTGTTGTATAACAATTGGCAGATTGACAAATCAGCACATCCATATATCAGATGACGCTCACACGAACGTAACTGAAAGAATACCACAAAAATACAAACATAAGGAATATGTTAAGATAAAGGTAACCTATGCAAGCAAAGTAAATAGAAGCAGTTCCATAATTGGATATACACACGTATTAATTTCTTACGTCGACACATTTTGCAGCTGAAATGTTTGTTACTAAGAAAATTGGAATCTCAATATGACTGCCAGAAGGCCTTGTAATTTAACGAAAATAGTTTCAAAAATCTTCTCAAAAACTTTAGAGAGCCAGAAACCGGACAGTTGAGGGGTGAAATGATCACTATATGTAGTGCGAGGCAACATTCGTCATAAACATCTTCTCGTTTACTACTGGATCAGTGAAACTGAAGTGTCAAACGATTGTTCCCACCAATACCTGAATAAATTTGGTTCAAGGGGTTCGAATCCAAAATTCAGTCCAATTTCCGCCACTGTCGATTGTATTCAAATGTAATGACATTTGGTACCGTAGTATTTCTTAACATGTGCATTCATGGTTTTATTGAGATTTTTTATGGCAATGACACACCATCTCATGAGGAACCACTAGACCAATACCGCTAAAACTACACACGTTTATGCCCGCGAATGACGTCGCCTGAATTTGTACAAGAGGTTCACCTCAACTGAAGCAGCCATTATGAAAAAGTTATTTATAGCCATTATGTTTGTGGCAGTGGGTCTTAACACATATATTCCATGTTTTGCGATATTATACAATTTTACACCTAATTTTAAAAATTTGACCTTTAGCTTTATACACTTCTCCCACTCTAGGACTTCAAGACAGAGGGAGACGACTTAGACATGTACGTTTTTCCATACAACGACATAAGTTGTTGAGATCGTTAGAATATATTAGTTTTAAGTCCTCAGTATTTATCCATACACTATTCTTATATCTATGTTGACAGCAAACCTTCGTTTAGCTAATAGCTACGGTGGCGTGGTAATATCTGTATTTCTTAATACAATTTGAAGCATGAAATCGCCGATGGCATTAATAAAGAGAAAAACAAACAAGTGAAAAACAAATCATTCCAACAGCCGGAAGGCGACATGCTCGTTCAAATACAAAGTAAAGATGTCACGCTTTCAGAGCGTTTTCTATACCAAATGGTTCTTGCTCATATCTCAGTTCTAACACATTTTTAAGGACATCCAGCGTACAATTCATCTTTTTGCTCTAACTTTAGGCAGCTTATATTTTCTGTATACTGGAACAAATACTTTTTGACCAAAACAACTTGTTGATCCCTAACATCCTAGCGACATTGTGCCATCTTGTCCTCCTGGATCTCCTGCAGCCACGTCAGATGTACACACGTGAGATCCATCCTCCTCCATGAGTGTTGGTGCTGTTACTGCTCCACGACTATGTCTGTGTTGTCCGCTACTTGGCTGAAAGAACAGAAGATGATTGCGAGTTGTTTGGTTAATTGTGGGCACAGTTGGAAATGATGGGCTACACATATGATTACGACAATGTATCAGAAAAGGAACACGTAAAGACATGACATAAACGTGGTACTAAATTCAGGTTTTCGTCAAAGGTGAGCAACAAGTTAGACAGTTTTGTTATTATTTAATACGCTAAGACGAATTAGTACCTAATTTCGAGTTTTTGTATTCAGATGAGTAGCATATCAAACATATGTGGTATTATCAACATAATTTGAACTGGTTGACAGACATAAGGGCATCTATACAACGTGAAGACATAAGTGCATCAATATAAGGGGAAGACATAAGGACCTCAATATAAGATGAAGACATAAGGGCATCAATACAACGTGAAGACAAGGGCATCAATACAGCGTGAAGACAAGGGCATCAATACAGCGTGAAGACAAGGGCATCAATACAACGTGAAGCCAAGGGCATCAATACAGCGTGAAGACAAGGCAATAATACAGCGTGAAGACAAGGGCATCAATACAGCGTGTAGACAAGGGCATCAATACAACGTGAAGACATAAGGGCGTCAATACAACGTGAAGACATAGGGGCATCAATACAGCGTGAAGACAACGGCATCAATACAACGTGAAGACATAGGGGCATCAATACAACGTGACGACATAAGGGCGTCAATACAACGTGAAGACATAGGGGCATCAATACAACGTGAAGACATAGGGGCATCAGTACAACGTGAAGACATAGACGCATCAATACAGCGTGAAGACAAGGGCATCAATACAACGTGAAGACATAGGGGCATCAATACAGCGTGAATACAACGGCATCAATACAACGTGAAGACATAGGGGCATCAATACAACGTGACGACATAAGGGCGTCAATACAACGTGAAGACACAGGGGCATCAATACAGCGTGAAGACAAGGGCATCAATACAACGTGAAGACATAGGGGCATCAATACAACGTGAAGGCATAGGGGCATCAATAGAGCGTGAAGACAAGGGCATCAATACAACGTGAAGACATAGGGGCATCAATACAACGTGACGACATAAGGGCGTCAATACAACGTGAAGACATAGGGGCATCAATACAACGTGAAGACATAGGGGCATCAATAGAGCGTGAAGACAAGGGCATCAATACAACATGAAGACATAGGGGCATCAATACAACGTGACGACATAAGGGCGTCAATACAACGTGAAGACATAGGGGCATCAATACAACGTGAAGACATAGGGGCATCAATAGAGCGTGAAGACAAGGGCATCAATACAACGTGAAGACATAGGGGCATCAATACAACGTGACGACATAAGAACTGGAGTAATAAGGGCAGCAATACTACGTGACGTTATAAGGATATCGATAGAACGTGGAGTCATAAGGGCATCAATACTACGTGACGTTATAAGGGCATCTATACAACGTGAAGACATAAGGACCTCAATATAAGGTGAAGACATAAGTGCATCAATATAAGGGGAAGACATAAGGACCTCAATATAAGATGAAGACATAAGGGCATCAATACAACGTGAAGACAAGGGCATTAATACAGCGTGAAGACAAGGGCATCAATACAGCGTGAAGACAAAGGCATCAATACAACGTGAAGACAAGGGCATCAATACAGCGTGAAGACAAGGGCATCAATACAGCGTGAAGACAAGGGCATCAATACAGCGTGTAGACAAGGGCATCAATACAACGTGAAGACATAGGGGCATCAATACAGCGTGAAGAAAACGGCATCAATACAACGTGAAGACATCGGGGCATCAATACAACGTGACGACATAAGGGCGTCAATACAACGTGAAGACATAGGGGCATCAATACAGCGTGAAGACAAGGGCATAATTACAACGTGAAGACATAGGGGCATCAATACAACGTGACGACATAAGGGCGTCAATACAACGTGAAGACAGGGGGCATCAATACAACGTGAAGACATAGGGACTTCAATAGAGCGTGAAGACAAGGGCATCAATACAACGTGAAGACATAGGGGCATCAATACAACGTGACGACATAAGGGCGTCAATACAACGTGAAGACATAGGGGCATCAATACAACGTGAAGACACAGGGGCATCAATAGAGCGTGAAGACAAGGACATCAATACAACGTGAAGACATAGTGGCATAAATACAGCGTGAGGACAAGGGCATCAATACAACGTGAAGACATAGGGGCATCAATACAACGTGACGACATAAGGGCGTCAATACAACGTGAAGACATAGGGTCATCAATACAAAGTGAAGACACAGGGGCATCAATACAGCGTGAAGACAAGGGCATCAATACAACGTGAAGACATAGGGTCATCAATACAACGTTTCGACATAAGGGCGTCAATACAACGTGAAGACATAGGGGCATCAATACAACGTGAAGGCATAGGGGCATCAATAGAGCGTGAAGACAAGGGCATCAATACAACGTGAAGACATAAGGGCATCAATACAACGTGACGACATAAGGGCGTCAATACAACGTGGAGACATAGGGGCATCAATACAACGTGAAGACATAGGGGCATCAATAGAGCGTGAATACATAAGGGCGTCAATACAACGTGAAGACATAGGGGCATCAATACAACGTGAAGACATAGGGGCATCAATAGAGCGTGAAGACAAGGGAATCAATACAACATGAAGACATAGGGGCATCAATACAACGTGACGACATAAGAACTGGAGTAATAAGGGCAGCAATACTACGTGACGTTATAAGGATATCGATAGGACGTGGAGTCATAAGGGCAGCAATACTACGTGACGTTATAAGGATATCGATAGAACGTGGAGTCATAAGGGCATCAATACTACGTGACGTTATAAGGATATCGATAGAACGTGGAGTCATAAGGGCAGCAATACTATGTGGACAGCCTATTGTATGACGTTACCTGCAGTCGGACAGTGGATACGGTGAATACAGCCGTGCCAGGAACTCCCTGTTTCCTTCGCGATCTCCTGTCGATGGAACCAAAATGTAGCGACCTGGCGTGAGTTCGAAACGGAACGTGCGCTGCCTCATTCTAGCGTAGTGTGTCTCGTCTTTCTCCCTCTTGATGCTGGTGACTACCGACTCGTCGTCAAGACACTTACTCTGTAAATAAACAGTTATAATGCATCTACGTTTTGACCATCTAATATTCGTTGTTTGAGACAGAAGTCTTGGATTTTTTAGCTCCTCTCTATGCCAGTCCACTTACAAGTTGTACCCAATGTTCCGCATGTGTGATGTCCAGGAACATTAGAGTGAGTGAGTGAGTGAGTTGGGTTTAACGCCGCTTTTAACAGTATTCCAGTTATATCGCGGCGTATCAGCTTAATGTGGGAGGAAAGCCCAAAGTGATGCAGGTCTCAGACGTTTACCACTTCGCTGAAACCCACGAGCACGGGTATGGTGCTGACAAACCTAGAAACATAATTGGGGCAATATGGACAATTTTTTGTCGCTTCTATTATTTAAGCTGCCAATATCATTGTACACCTACTTTGAACAGATGGCAGTTCAGGTTATACGTTTCATCCCCGCGATCAGCTCGCTGTATGATGTGTACCACGACTGGTACGGGATCTGTGAATCAGAAGAAATAACTAAACTATTAAACTGTAAATAATTAAACAATGTCATATTTTGGTTGGTTTGTTGTTAAACGCCCCTCATCAATATTCCAGCTATATGACGGCGGTCTGTAAAATAATCGAGCCTGGACCACACAATCCAGTGAGGGGTTGCTGAAGACTTATTCTACCCCGGAATCTTCACGGGTCTAAACAATGTCCCAACCTGGCTGCATGCCGTAATGACCGCCTCCGTGGTCTAGTGGTAGAGCGTCCGCCCGGAGAGCGGAAGGTCCAGGGTTCGATCCCGGGCCGCGTCATACAAAAAGACGTTAAAAGATTGTACTTGTTGTTACCCTGTCTGGCGCTCGGCATTAAGGGGCTAAAACAAGGACTGGTCGGCTCGGAGTCAGTATACTGTGTCTGAGTGGGGTATTCATGTTAAACTGCGGCATGGTATCTCAGTGAGCTAGCACTATAAATCGGCATCAGTCCGGACTAGTACAAGCAGCCACACACACACATACACGTGCATGCACGTCGCTATATAAGTGCAATAATCTTGGACGCGACGTTAAACCCAATTTCACCTCACCTCACCTGCATGCCGTAAGATGCGACTAACGGGATCATGTGGTCGACTTGCTGACTAGGTTGACGGATATTATCGTATCACAATTGCCTTGATCTATGCTCGTGATATCAATCACTGGATTATTTTTAGACCGCCGTCATTTAGATGGAGTATTGCTGAGTTAACCAACAACAAACAAACAAACAAACATAACCTGGGTTCACTTTTGTGCACACAATTTCGACATGGTTAAAAGTACTGATGTCCAACAACGAGATGACCTCAACATTAATATTTAGATTACAAATGTATCCTCAACCTATACATTCTTTGTTAAACAAACTACAGTAAACTACGGTTATAACGAACTCAAAGGGACTGCTAATTTTAGTTCGTTATAACCGTAATTCGTTATAAGTACATATACAGCATGACTACAGCAAGTAGTCGGGACCAAAAAGTAAGTTCGTTATATCCGTCAGTTCGTTATAAGCGTGTTCGTTATAACCGTAGTTTACTGTATTTCGCTGATTGTCTTATCCAGTTCCTTAAATGAAGGAATACGTTATTTATTAGGGTTGATTGAGTCAGAGACATGAATTTATGAACATTTATCCCATACGTAATATCACAGTGGGTAACATCTAGGATGGCCTTCACCTTGTTGTACCCTCTGCTGAATCTTAACCATCATCACGACTCTAAAAGATTCCTTTTTTTGCAAAATGTGTGATTGGCAGGTGCTACCGGTAGGGCAGGTCATGACTACCCTTTTCACGAACACCTGGGCCCACTTGCACAAAGCGATCTTAGCGCTAAGACTATTGTAAGCCTATGTTAAAGTATGGGAGTTACGATCATCTTAACGCTAAGATCGCTTTGTGCAAGTGGGTCCTGGTGACATTTTTCAGTGCCCCATTGACATAATTCTCACCTCTATTAACCGTTTAAACCAAACGGAATCTGTTTCGGCAGATAATTGAGACCGGTTGTTTTCTGAGTTGGCGTTTTATAGTTAACCACATTTGTCATCATTAGCTTGTTTTGCACAAATTGTTGAATAATCGTCGTAACGTTCATCTAATTTTCATATGCCTTAAAAACCCTTAGTTAATTTTACTGGTATATTTCCCCTGCAATACCTGGAATGCCATCTTCATGAGGAACTGTGAATGCCAGTCTGGGATTGTCTTTGAGTATCTCGGCTTCAGGTTGATTTTCTCTAGAGCTTCCTTTCCACTCCCCGAAAGTCCTCAACACGTAGTCTTTGAAAGTTTAAAAAGAGTGAGTGAGTGAGTGGGTGAATATGGTTCACGCCGCTCTTAGCAATATTCCAGCAATATCACGGCGGGGGACACCAGAAATGGGCATTACACATTGTCGGGAATCGAACCCGGGTCTTCGGCGTGACAAGTGAACGCTTTAACCACTAGGCTACCCGACCGCCCGTTTAAAAAGAGGACGGTAATAAAAATATAGACAATGAACAATGTGATAATGAAGTGCAATAGGATAATGATCAGGATGATAATGAGTAAATACCAGGAACAACTTAAAACACATTTTAACAATCTGCTTGTCTTTGAACTTCAATCGACTCGTCTAAGGCGCCGCCATTCACTGTGCAGAGTTGCGACCCTTGATCATACCAGAAACATATGAAGCGGTGTTAAAACCAACTTACACACTTATACAATCACACACACTCACTCACTCACTAAAACTTACTTAACTGCTCCGCTTCTCCATTTATGTCGAAGTCGGGAGTGAGAGAACACACTGTTGTTATGAAGAAAATCACTTGGAAATCTCTCAGAGCCATCCAGAACTCGCCATCTTCTTTGTCCTCCAAGAGCTGGTTCCTGTCCTCATCCGTTAACTTCTTCCAATTAGGACTCCTGGAAACCATAGCAACCAGGTGTAAATAATAGGTACTTGAATCAAGATCAGTATGACAGTTGGAAACTGTAGAACAATGTAAATACATGCCCGTTTCTGGTTACAGTAGAAGGATACCCCAAAGAACTTTGTCTTGTGCCTTACATCGTCTAACTTTCATACTTTTGACCAAATTGTGTTATTCTTGCAGCACATGGTCACTGATAAAACTAATAAAAACCAATCATGTGTCCAGCTGTGACAATGAGTGAGTGAGTGAGTATGGTTTTACGTCACTTTTAGCAATATTCCAACAATATCACGGCGGGGGGACACCAGAAATGGGCTTCACACATTGTACGCATGTCGGGAATCGAACCCGGCATCAACGGCGTGACGAGCGAGCGCTTTATCCACAAGGCTACCCCACCACCCCTATTGTGACTAAAGCGTTAAAATGTTAAACGGAAAGGGTAATCTCAGTGAGTGAGTGAGTGAGTGAGTGAGTGAGTGAGTGAGTGAGTGTAGCCCGAAGTGATGCAAGTCTTAGACTTTTACCGCTTGAGTGAAACCCACGAGCACGACAATCGTGATGACATAACCCAGAAACATAACCATTTATTGTATTTAATCGCATTTCCAGGGCTCAATAGAAACAAGAATATGACGAGGTACCAATTCGAATTCGGTCCAATCAAATCATTATTATACTAACTTGTCACTCCACTTTCCTGTCCATTCATCGGATCCCCATGGGTTTCTCATCCTCAAGAGGAAAGCCCGCTTCCCGTTCTTTTTCGTCACCTTTAATAAAATAGCAAAGTTAGAGAGAGAGTCTTTCTCACAATGTGTCCGGAGGGACCAGTAATACAAAATGAGTATGCTTCAAATGCCTGGTGGGGCGGTCGGGTAGCCTAGTGGTTAAAGCGTTCGCTCGTCACGCCGAAGACCCGGGTTCGATTCCCGACATGGGTACAATGTGTGAAGCCCATTTCTGGTGTCCCCCGCCGTGATATTGCTGGAATATTGCTAAAAGCGGCGTAAAACCATACTCACTCACTCACTCACTCACTCAAATGCCTGGTTGTAGTAGTTTCAAGATATTTTACGTTCGCCTACTAGGTAATATAGGGAGACTGTTGCTGTACACGAGTGAGGGATTTGGGTTTAACGCAGCTTTTAACAATATTCCAGTTACATCACGGCGTGTCAGTTTAATGTGGGAGGAAAGCCCGAAGTGATGCAGGTCTCAGACGTTTACCACTTCGTTGAAACCCATGAGCACGGGTATGGTGCTGACAAACCTAGAAACATAATTCGGGCGAACCGGGATTCGAACCCTCAATCATAGGTTTCTGTAGTGCCCAAGGGACGCAACTCTGCACAGCGAATCGCGGCGCCTTAGACGACTGGGCCACCCGTGCCCCCTGCTGTACACGAACATGTACACTTGGTCTCCGTTGGATTTAAGTCACCAGTTATGGTAAATCAGTGGCACGAATAACCAAAGGACTAAACAATAAACGAACTGTAAACGAACGTAGACCATTACAAATACTACCACATTTACTGGGAGAAGGTGAACAGATGAAAGTGATGGCATGGCAACAGAGTAAAGCGAGTGAGTGTTGTTTTATGCCATGTATATATAAGACAGCCGGTAATCAAGTCTGGACCAGACAACCAGGGGTATGAGCAGGAACAGTGGTCCACGCCATCGGGGTACGATGACATTCAACCAGACAAGTCAAAAGACCACTGGATCAAGTTTTTCAGTACCACTTCAGAATACGTTTTATGTCAACATCACCAACGTCAATAATCAGCTACAGATGAAGTTACCTCTTTTGCTCTTATCACGGTGTAGGCATGGCCCGGAATAATGCCGTCGGGTGGTGTCGTGCCCTGAAATAATCAAAACACGTTTTACGACGGAGGCATCATGCCTAGGGATTATGATTTCTCCTCATCGTTCTCATTAAGTAAGAGTATTTTATGATTGCATTTGGCATATACATGCTGATGCACGATAAATAGATATATAATTTCCTCAAATAATCATAATGTGAAGATTCGATTCTTTGGAAAAAATGACTTATGAAAATAAAGATACTTATAGCAGCTGAACAGCAAACATCTTACCATTCACATTAGGCAAGAAAATTTAAAGATTGCACTTGACATATACTCGCTGGTACACGATAAATATATATATATATATATATATATATATATATATATATATATATATACATATACATATACATATACATATATATGTATGTATGTATGTATATATATATATATATGTATATGTATATATATATATATGTATATATATATATATATTTCTAAAATGTACATTTTTGATGTTTCGAGTCATCGTTGGGGGAAATTATCACAAGTTGGTATTCATCCATTTTGACTTTCAGAAATTAAACCATACGAATCGAGTGGATACAAAAAGGATATTGTCTTTATTAAGTCAACACGTAGAAACAACAAACTTACAGATTTCGAGGAACAGGTCACAAAGGCTCCACACTTCAGCGCATTGACAATTCGTTTAAACAGTGTGTTTTTACTGGTGTACTCCATGATAACTGTCTCAGGCACGCCGCCAGTCAGGGCGAGGTAGGCGTCACTTGGCATGCCCCCTTCAGCAACGCTGTACGAGTCGTGACATCTATTCCAAAAGACATGTGACCAGTTAAAGCGACACACAAATTAAAGCGAGCCTATAAAGGGTGAATTTACCCTCCATATATTTAATACACATCTTTTCACGTGGATTCAGCCGTGCAAATTCAGCTGTTTCACCAATCACAGAACGGTGAGCATCTGTGTCCTGGGAAAAGGGCCTTGACGGTGAACAGTAAAGGACCTTCAATTTTATATCGTGCCGTGAAGATTCCGGGGTAGAATAGGTCTTCAGCAACCCATGCTTGCCGTAAAGGGTGACTGTGCTTGTCGTAAAAGGCGACTAAAGGGATCGGGTGGTCAGGCTCGCTGACTTGGTTGGTGCATGTCATCGATCCCAATAACGTGGATCGATGATCATGATATTAATCAATGGATTGTCTGGTCCAGACTCGATTATTTACAGACCGCCGTCATATAGCTTGAATATTGCTGAGTGCGGCGTTAAACAACAAAGGACCTTCCATTTCATATCGTGGGATGGGAATGCTTGGCGTTGACGGTCATGCTTTGGCTATACATTCTTCAAATACATGAGACATGAAACTTTTATCGACAACAACTTGTTTATTGTTTGTAGAAATGAAACGTTAACGCTGGAGAACAAACGTCATGCTCGACTATCCGACGAAACACATTCCATTGGGCGCAAAACAGCGACGGAAACATTATGAATGGATCACTGAAATTCAGTGATGACATCCGGTGTCGCGAAAACGACTTTCGAGGGTAACTTAATACCATTGGCTTCCTCGTTGTATTTTTATCTTTGTACATCAACCCCACCTCGTTTAACACACACACATATATACTTCGTGTTTCTTTATCAGTTGAATACTGACTATATATATATATATATATATATATATATATATATATATATATATATATATATATATATATATATTAATATTTAAATAAGTGGAAGATTGTATATATATATATATTTAAATAACTCGTCTCATCAGGCCATAACTGAATATAGGACATGAAGTGCCCGTTCACACAAGTGTAACACTTGAAAGCGCTAGCCAATTAAAGCTGTGTTTAATCTTACTCCACTTATTTAATTATTACTATATTGTGCCTGAGAGTTAGGAGTTTACTGTACTGAGAGAGAGAGAGAGAGAGAGAGAGAGAGAGAGAGAGAGAGAGAGAGAGAGAGAGAGAGAGAGAGAGAGAGATACGTACTCAGTATTCAACTGATAGAGAAACAAGAAGTAGCCCTGACACATCGTTACAACAAGAAACAAATTGTTATCCATATCCGGGGCGGCCGGGTAGCCTAGTGGTTAAAAGTGTTCGCTCGTCATGCCGAAGACCCGGGTTCGATTCCCGACATGGGTACAATATGTGAAGCCCATTTCTGGTGACCCCCGCCGTGATATTGCTGGAATATTGCTAAAAGCGGCGTAAAAACAATCTCACCACTCACTCACTGTTATCCATATCCATGTCTTCATGTTCTTCCAACTCCTAAATGCCCATCAACAACTTCTTCAAATACAATTGATATAATACAAGTCTTTAACTTACCCTGCTAGCGCCTTCTCCATAAGTGAAACCCACATTTCATTAGTTCCTGATTTTGATTGAGCTCCAAACAACTCATTTGTTCCTTTTTCTACTGGCAAGATGTCATCATTATAAACGTCTACCCATTCCCCGAACCTCCACAGCCGACAGTGAAAGATTCCGTCCGTCTTAGGTTTGAAGGCGTCATTGTCAATCACCTGAAAATGGATGACATTAACGACCTGTTAGTATATATGACACATTTTGTTTTCAAATAGTCAAATGTAGATGAGATGAGGTGAGGTGAAATTGGGTTTAACGTCGCGTCCAAGATTATTGCCCTTATATAGCGACTGATGCCGATTTATAGTGCTAGCCATTTCTGATAAACCATACCGCAGTTTAACATGAATACCCCACTCAGACACAGTATATTGACCCAGAGCTGAAAAGTCCTTGTTTTAGCCCTTAATGCTGAGCGCCAGACAGGGTAACAACAAGTACCATATTTTAACGTCTTTTGGTATGAAGCGGCCGGGGACTTTCCCGGACTTTCCGCTCTCCTGTCGAACGCTCTACCACAAGACCACGGAGGCGGTCCCAAATGTAGATGTATAACCAAGAGTGTCAAACATCTAGACGTTAACATACAGTCACTGTGTCGTCGCCATCTGTGATTTGTATGCAAAACAGCACCGATTAAAAGACGTAATCACTTGCAATCATCACTCGTTACTTTGAAAAAAGACTTTCTCTGGATGTCGTGTACACATTTTGACACTCATATTTCTTACTTTGAAAACTTTTGTACGCCATTCATTCTTAAAGTTGCCCTGCCCAAATCTTTTATTCGACACATTTCATTAAAAACGCAGAATAGAAGATAAGTGAATCGACCAATTTTAATCAGTAATAAGGTGATTGATTATCATAAAACAGATAAGTAATTTATCAAGTAATTATACTTATCGTAAACCCATGAGAAATCTGAATTTAAAATTGGAACTGCTCTACATGTCCAAAACCAAAATTGACAGAAGCCTATAGTTGATGGGGCAGCCAGGGGCCTTTTACTTTGATGACATCTTACTTTCATCTTAGAACAAGGTATTGTCTGATATGTACATCATATATTAAAACACATATATAACACAATACAGGGAACCCTCGTACTCGCCAGTATGTCGATATGTCGTTTGGGGTTATGTGAATATAAAGGAGAGCTTCGCGATAATCGCAAAGAACAATGAGAAACGAAGAACATTGTGCTATTTTGACGTCATTTCTGGAGATGCGAACATGCGCTCGCAACTTGATGACGTTATAGATTGGACGACGTTATTTTTGAGAGGGAAGTGTGAGTTGCTGCCCATAGATGTAGCTTGGCAACACAGAAAAGTACCATAGCCGAACGATCGCTTCCGAAAGTGGACGAGATATAGCAATATGTATTAGGGGAAAAGGTACACATAATCGCCGTGAAAATTGTGAGAAGATCAGGACAATTCAAAACTTGACCCACCTGTTCATAAAATGGACTTGTCCGACATTGACGAAGTCGGATTAAATTCAGGGAGTCATTATTATTAAAAAAACCATCTAATTATTTTTAAAGCGTGTACATTTCACTAACATCCTGAAAGATGCTGTACATGATGCTTATATCTCATATAAGAAATGTACGAATCGTGGTCTTTGTTTATCGTACAATAAAAAACTGCAGGGTGAATAAACCACTCGGGGCTGTGCCCCTACTGGTTTATTGTACGATAAACAACCCCCACTCTTCGTTTATTTTTTAAATACGGTCATGGCGCAATGGCACATTATCAGTACACTTGTGTTAGACTCCGAATAACTCGCCAGCAGTTGCTATAACCTTTGGTAAAACGAAGTTTCTCTGAAGTATTCCTATCGGTTATTTATAGTGTATAAAGTGCTCAAGAATGCAAGTAAACATCACGAGATACCTTTTTGAGAAGTTTTGGTCTTTCGGCAAGATTTGTCAACATTGACAAGAACCAGCATGTTCCAAAAGTTCCTTGGTTGATATCTCCCTTGTCAGCACCCCCAGCAAAGAGCACTGGGTCCTCCACAATCTCCTTGTAGAACACAACACGGAAACATCAAATGGTTATACATGTACGTGAGTAAATGTTTAAGTCACATTCGACGTTTTTCTAGCCACAGAGCGTTACCCAAACAGGAAAATGATACCGTTATAATATGTTGTTGAAATGTCAGAATGGCATACAACACTTGATTACTCTGTGAAAAGTAACTGACAGCTACACTGTTTATATAGCGGACATCCTTGATATATATATGTCACCTGATATCGATTATAAAACGGAACAAGTAGATTGATTCAGCTGTCAGACAAGCATTAATTAAGTCTGTGTTTAAGCCTTCACTTGTGATACTGACATTCGGAGCAGAATAGCTTAGTAAGTACTTTTATCATTTTGTGACTAGCATTCTGTATCAAAACGATGTAACCACATGTATGCTTACAGCCTTGTCTAATAGTGTTGGTGACATTTTAAGCATACAATTACTTATATATGGAACCATTCTCGTGCTAATAATGAACGAACACATTTGTCTCTCTGTGACAATATATATCACTTAAAGTACATGATTTGTATAAATGAATTTTTTTCCTATTCTGTTCCCAGTCTCCTATATGTCCTTTATTGGAAGACATACCATAGTAAAATATGTATTTAACTATATTATTAGAAGCGGGCATTGTCATAGCTTGTACCCAATTTTGTATGTCAATGAACAGTGTCTAGATCAAATAAAAATACATGATTGCGCTAAAATAGTATATATTTGCGTTTTCAAAGCCTAGAGATGGTCTCCGGAGACTAGTGGTTAAAGCGTCTGTTGTTGCAATCCACCCGCCCACCCCGCTCACCCCGCCCACCCTCCATACTACATGATGGAGATGGTGTTATCCTGGTGTACGGGTTAATGGATAGATGGCGCAGGGAATACTCACGTATGATCTCTTCCATTCGATTTGATGCGCACTTGCATCAACTTTTATTATCGCCGGTTTATCGAAGTTGGGGTCTGTCCACTCCTGACCAGGGGGAACTTTGGGGCGTTCTGTCTTCCAAGCTGCTGGAAGAGGCGAAGTCCTGAAGTCTCTTGTCCAGAACTTTAACCGAGAACCCTCAGGATCGTCCTCGTAACTCATACTTCTGTTAAGTGGTCACCTGGCAACCAATTGATTATGCGTTTCAACTAATACATCAGTATGGCTAAATGGTGATTGTGTACATCTTTTAGTTTGGATGTAATAGAATTTAACGCAGGATACATCTTTAAACATGGTGATCTATGGCTAATTAACCCATTTGAGTGAGTGAGTGAGTGAGTTGGGTTTAACGCCGTTGTTAACATTATTCCAGTTATATCATGGCATGTCAGCTTAATGTGGGAGGAAATCCCAAAGTGAAGCAGGGGTATGGTGCTGACAAACCTAGAAACATAATCGGGGCGAACCGGGATTGAAACCCATAGTCACAAGTTTCTGGTGCGCCCAAAGGACTCAACTCTACTTAGCGAACCTTAAGCCTCTGTCACTTGTGACCCTTACCTATTTGAAGAATGGACACATCTCCTCGTGTTTCAGTTCACAATAGAAACATTGCAATTTCAAAATTATCAACTGGCTGTTGTCCATCTTGTCAACGCTGTCGAGGGTTTCTTAATACTGATTTATCATTCATTTGTCAACAATCACAATAGAACCGAAATGAGAGACAGTCATGGTAATGGTTGCCAGGGTTTTAAAGTAGGAACACTTGGCATAATCACGAATAGCACCACGACAAAGCAAACGTTGAGGTATATTTTACACTCTTCAAAAATCGAAACGCACAGGTAGATTTTTAGTAAATTTATTGTACCTAATAAAATCGATATATTTCATTTAATATCACAAGATACATAGATACAAATATGGAATTTTGATGCTCGATAGTCACATATTGTCGTTGTACAAAGGCTTTGACAACTGTTCATTGTCATGTCACATAAGGCCACAAGGTTGCGCCGAACTCAGTGTCTCGTGTGACCACCCCGGGCAGCAATCACGGCTCTGCATCTCCTCGGCACTGACTTGATAAGTGTATGAATTCTGTCCAATGGAATTCTGCGCCATTCCGCTTGTAACGTGTTGGCCAGTTATGGGTGTGTCTGCGGCGTGATCTGACGTTGACGTACACGTCGATCGAGTTCAACCCACAGGTGTTCGATTGGTTTGAGATCTGGAGATCTCGACGGCTAGGGCAAAACGTTGATGTTGGCATTATGAGGCTAGTCTAGCGTGACACGAGCTGTGTGCGGTAGGGCGTTGTCCCGTTGAAACAACTCCCTCTGGCGGTCAATGGTTGGAAGAAGGTGAGGTTGAAGAATTTGATTCATGTAGCGGTTTGCTGTCAAATTTCCCTGGACCACAACAAAGTCAAATCTCGTGGTAAAGGATATGCCTCCCCCCCCCCCCCCCCCCCCCCCCCCCTCCCACACACACACACACCATGTTTCGAATTCACGTACACAATGTGGGGCAAAACGTTAATTTCGACGACGATAAACACGTTGTCTTCCATCTCGCCGGTGAAGAAGAAATCGTGATTCATCGCTAAACCACACTCGTCTCCAGTTTCTTAAATTCCAAGGTTGTAAGGTATGGCACCAACGCAAGCGTCACTGTTGCAAAACAGGGACGATAACTGGTCCTCTGGGTCGGATTCCAGCCGCGCGAAGATGGTTCCTGACAATCTGGTCCGATATCCTCCTCAAACCAGGGATGCGTCCTGCAGTCTGTGACATTGCGATGACGTAGGTAGAACAGTCGAATGTAGCGATCCTGAACCGGGGTGGTAACTCTTGGTCGAATCGCGGACGGCAGTGGAATTGAGCTCTTTGTGTCGGTCACAAAGGCGGCAAATGGTGCTGTGGTAGACGTTGAAGTGGTGTGCAACAGAAGACAGCGATTCCCCTCTTTGGATACTCCTATGGCGATGTTCCGATCGGCAGCGCTGAGTCTCGACACTTTCGAGCTTGAAAAATGTTGATAATTGAATGACAAATTATTGACTTATGCTTGCTTTTATATAGCCACTACCACGAGTTATGAATGCCATAACGTGCACGTACATTTTGCTTTAATGTTTTCCTCCATGACATTTTTGAACAAGTGTGAAAACAATGCCTTTTAAGACATTGCAAATCGACAATGGCTGCGTTTTGACGCACCGTTTGTCGAATATCAGGCCACCAACATACTACCTGTGCGCTTCTTTTTTTAAAGAGTATATATACACAATCTCACATGAAAGTATGCATATCGTCGGCTATTCTATTGGATTCATTTTCTGCACGTTTATTAAGATTTATTTTTTTCATTTATTGAGTTACAAATGTAAAAGTCGGTGTGCACAATGTGTAAATCCGTGGAAACGCAAAAATAAAATTAAAGTCAATTCTCAGTAATACCATAGACAACAATAACAACTTCACAGACTGCTTATTGAATCAGTAAAACAAAAGTACTGCAGACAACGCTATGAAATCAGTGACATCCTTCAGTTCAATAATGCATCACAAGCTCCGCCCACTTTATTTACAGCCAATCAGGAAACAGACAAATATGTTTTCGGTTTATGAAGCATAAACTTAACAATAATTCCTTGGTTAGCCAGTCAAATGATATGGGATCATTTGTAGTATTTTTAAAACCGTATATGTGAGACCGCCTCCGTGGTCTAGCGGTAGAGCGTCCGCCCGGAGAGCGGGAGGTCCGGGGTTCGATCCCCGGCAGCGTCATACCAAAAGACGTTAAAATATGGTACTTGTTGTTACCCTGTCTGGCGCTCGGCATTAAGGGGCTAAAACAAGGACTGGTCGGCTCGGAGTCAGTATACTGTGTCTGAGTGGGGTATTCACGTTAAACTGCGGCATGGTATCTCAGTGAGCGAGCACTATAAATCGGCATCAGTCCGGACTAGTACAAGCAGCCACACAAACACATACACGTACATGCACGTCGCTATATAAGTGCAATAATCTTGGACGCGACTTTAAACCCAAATTCACCTCACCTTATATGTGAGTTCGTATTAAATACGTCAAAGCTCTTCGGGGACGACCTTAAAGGTCATGTGTCACGATTCAGTGTCAGCAAGACACAGATTGGATGACTGTTATATACAGTTTGTTGTTGTTTATCAAATGGATGTACTATATAAGTGATTCCTGCTATGCTTAATAAGGTGCATATACACTGTACATAATTTGTTCCAATTGTTGTTAACCATTGCCGACGATGATATTTCAATGTGTTATCTATTACACTTGTTATCTGCTTCTTGTCTGGGTGTATGCAGCGGGTGACGAGCGAACGCTGTAACAACTAGGCTACCCTACCTCCCATGAGAAGGAAAATATTAGTATGATAAAAGTTGTTATCATACGACAGATAGTGGTATAGATGCGATACACCAGTCTGATAAACTTGATATCACGATCCGATAAATATGCAAACTAGGACATCTAGCAGGGATAGCGTTCGAGCTCCTAACATTAATGATGTGCCCGCTCACCCAATAAACAGTCTATGTAAGTTCACATTTATTTATTGTGAACTTACATAGATTGTTTATTGGATTGTCGTATATATTGTTATTGGTATTTATTTATATTTACCCTTGTGTGTTTCTATATCTCGACCGCCTCCGTGGTCTTGTGGTAGAGCGTCCGCCCGGAGAGCGGAAGGTCCAGGGTTCGATCCCGGGCCGCGTCATACAAAAAGACGTTAAAAGATTGTACTTGTTGTTACCCTGTCTGGCGCTCGGCATTAAGGGGCTAAAACAAGGACTGGTCGGCTCGGAGTCAGTATACTGTGTCTGAGTGAGGTATTCATGTTAAACTGCGGCATGGTATCTCAGTGAGCTAGCACTATAAATCGGCATCAGTCCGGACTGGTACAAGCAGCCACACACACACATACACGTGCATGCACGTCGCTATATAAGTGCAATAATCTTGGACGCGACGTTAAACCCAATTTCACCTCACCTTCTATATCTCACGTAGCACATATATATATATATAACTATATATATATATAACAATATATATATATTACTCGCACAAGGCTCGCATAATACAATTTATATTCTTGATATATAATATTATATCTCCGTACGGAAACAAGACAATAGGTGTCACGTGATCACAGGGATGAACTAAGGATGGGGATAAGAATTCGTGTCCGTAACAATGCGGGCGCAATGATCTGGTCACACGGATGGCTTATTTTAGTCCTTAGGGTGAGTGAACGTTTCCACATAACAATACTGGTTACACTGGTAAGGTTTTAACAGGACAGAGAGACCACTCACATGTCATGACCCTGCTGTAAAATCAGGGATGTAATTTAGGCTCTTGTCCTCAGGAATCAGTATCTGTGACAACTCTGACACATTGAAATGGTCACTAGGATGCCTGTGGTCATTAGGGTGAAGGAGCTACAATGAGCAGAAACTAAAATAACAAGCGGGGATGTAATACAGGATCGTCTTATCAAACAGTCTGTACTTGATCTCGGGTTTCTATGGGGATATAGGGCGGTAGGGTAGCCTAATGGTTAAAACGTTCGCTTGTCACGCCAAAGATATGGGTTCGCTTCCCAATATGAGTACAATGTAAAGCCCATTTCTGGTGTCCCCCGTTTTGACTTTGCTAGAATATTGCTAAAAGCGAAGTAAAACCATCCTCACTCACTCACTCACGATAGCGATATACTGACATGGTAGGAATGATTTTTGTGACAACTGAAATGGAAGGAAAGTTCAAAAGAACAGAGATGAGAATATTAAGGGTCCAGTTATCAAGTATTTTATCAAGGTAATGTTTATTTAATCAGCTGTTCGGAATAGATGAGATACAAATTTATATGGGTAAATCTATTGCTCGTAATGGATTACTTTTAACAATTGTAGAGCGTTTGCTGCTTTAAAATTAGAAAAATTAACCCTGGTTAGCATAACGAGGAAATGGTCGGAGAAGTGCCGTGCCTTTGATTGGAAAGTTCGCGAGAGTGTCGTCTAAAACCGAGTGCGAAGGATCACAGGACATGTACGTTCTCAGGGTCACCCGTCATAATGGGCCACACACGGAGCGGCCTAAAACAAAACTCACTCCTCTCACATAATGCCGACACGCCGGGATATACAAGTGACTGGGGTCCTGTTGTTAAACCAAACTCACTCGTCTACAGGAAGGTGGGAAGATCGTATGAAGTCATCCGACGCATTTTACCGACGTTGGACTAGTCATGGTAGCCCAGGGCATGTAGTTCCCTCAAGCGAAGACTTTAGAGAGAGAATCGTATTCAAGGATTAAGTATGACTAACAAGGCCCAGGTGTAGGTCGACCAGTGTTTCACCGTGTAACGAACAACGGTTACATGTATTTCCCTTGAGGCCACGACCCGTGTATGCCAGAAGTGACACTGAGTGAAATGGAATGTGGACACCGAATTACCTGTATAAAATGAGCTTATAATATCCGCGAAGAAGCGTTATAAGCCCAAAACTAAACTACTGGGCGATGGAAAGTATACACTTGAAAATTGGATTTGATAAAAAATTGCAAAAGATATCAAAACATTATTAAGCCGAAAACAGTCGCCGAAACACAGCAAACTTCAGGTCCAAAACCCAACTCTGATAACCGTACCAGATACATCGCCATGGAATAACCATTTGTGTTTGTTACAGTGTTAGCCACCATCAAACATGGGTGTATACTTTCTTAAGCCAAGCAGTTTATATTTATATCAAGATGGGATGGTTAAATATATATTTAGAATGTCCTTGCATGAAGAAGTCTGAAGCTGTGGGTGAGCAACTCAAATCTTGGACAACCCTTGATATCTACAATAAGCACTCTGTCCACCTTACGATGTCTGGTACTTGCTGCACTGTATGTACTAGATGTATAACGGCAATGTCAACGTAGCTACATCACAGTAGATACGCTATCAATTGGTCATTGTGACGGAGTTCCTTCTCTACAAGAAACTGTTAAGTTTTCTCATTGCACAGGCCTTGCGACGTGTAAAGTTCGCTGCTCGGTCCGGTAAGAAAGTAAAGTAGCTACACCATGTATTTCTATACTGAATACGTCTCGTGTTGAGATACAATATCAACGCGATAGTGGATGTTTTGCATATCATAGATAAGAAAATGTCAAATGTTGGAAGATAATATAAACAGGTTATAAATGACGGAGCAGATAATGGTTCAACATGATTCTCCAACGAAAAATGAAAAGGTAAAATTCCGAAACTCCGAAATAATTTTAAAGCATTTAAATACATTACGGGGTTCACATCAACACACTCTAGAAATGTTGAATGTTAAAATACACTCATTACATGTTTAAACGCTCATGACAAATTCAAAGTAAACATACGCCAACAGTTACCTTAGCCACTGAAAGGCCTCTCCAGCTATTGCGCCTGTCGCAGTCAAGCGTTAACCTAAATTCTAGTTGTGTTTACATGTCCTTGATTTTGACATGGACGTCGACTGATCTAGGTCAGCAAAGCCAGTGAGTCCATACCTCACGATACCATCTCATATAGAAGCAAATACTTAGATCATATGGAACTACTATTACAGTAACGACCGGGATTACAATACACACGTCCCTTTCATTATACATTTCCTATTATATTAACACTTTTCCTATACCTTTACCATACACAATGCATCCCGGGTCCCTCTGTGACAGGTGACATCTATTCATAGCGACCTGCCAGGTATTCAATCAAGGGGGGCATGTAACATGGAGTCTCAACGCTACACTGCGTATCGCCGTCGTGCATGGCTTCTCTCGTCACTGTAGCAGGTTATCATAAATATGTAGCATGATAAATATAACCTAGATATGCCAAAACAGCAATACGTTATGTATGATAAATACATACTACACGATCTACATCTGGTACACATGCTTGTAGTACTCACCTGCTTCAGATATAGCTGTTCAATAAACACACAGCTGGTACATTGTGCGTAATAATATCCCGTGTTGAAAGGATTATATATGTTTGCTCAGAACACTGCTTCCGGTTCACTCCCGGGCGGGTTATCGACTTCGGAAACGCGGAACATCAAACACGCATTTACTCAACGTGCAGGCATGTCAGCACTCCCTTAACTATTGATATTATAATTAACTGTGACTATGATCTTATTTTCCGCGATTCTGATTGGTGTATGTAGAATCACAATGGCTTGTTATACTCATTAACGGTAAACAAGGCAGAACTCGTAGAAACCGGAACTACTTTCGCAAAGGGGATTCCCCGTGACTCCCTTCAGCGCATCTCCGTTTGAAACAGTGTCTATAAATAGACACTCCGTGTATTGAACTGCCATCAGCACATGGTAGGAGGAATCACGAATATATATATTTTTATGGTAAGATTTGGTGATCCATACATTTATAATTGCATTTTGAGCATTCATGATCAGCCAACCATATCGTCGCACTGGAAGTTGATATCCTATAGCTCGTGAAAATAATAAAAAATAATCTTGAAACGATCTTGAATTTACGTTTAGAGGAATTAGTTCTTTCAAAATGGTATTTGTTATGTGGAGATGTGGATTAAATCTTTCCTTTATGCCTGCCAAAGTAGTAGTAGATTATGCCAAATACTCAATGTTTACCTTTAAAACTGTTTACGGCGAAGCTGATAAAAGGGACGAGATATGATACTGTTTAACTTAAATCTAATTGAAATGACTGGATGTGTTACAGTTGAACGTGAAGGTAATTGTAAGGACTAGGTACAATGTATGATAATGTATACTTCTGTGTACTTCTAATAATACACCCGTGAAGATCTTCCCGAGGTAAGTGAGTTAACTGACTAAAAAAGTCCAGTTTCCACCCTTGCCGAACAAGGCTGATATTGTGGAGTTACATTTCGGCTGGACTAGCGAGTCTAAGCATAGTCCAATCAAAATCGCGCACCGAAATCGAAATCCGGTTCGTAAAGTGTCATGCATATTTCGGTCGACTGCAGGATTTGCAAAGCATGTGCACCGCTAACTTGTTGTCAACAGATATTTTCTAAATCTTTTCATGTTTTTAATCAAGGTGCTCACGTGATTTGATGCACTTCGCTATGTAAGACTCGTTTTATCACAATATATATCTTGATTTTCAATCAGATCGTCTTGACTGGGCGCAACCGTTTTGTTTGAAGCAAAGGCAAGTGATACGAGAGGTGGAATCTGATTGGTCAATAGGAGAGGCATAGAAAGGACATAACTCGTAATAGCCACTGGTGGCGCTACGATCGAGCCCAGGAATTCCAACCTAGTTCGGCAAGGGTGGAAACTGGAATTTTAAAGTCAGTTAACTCTCTTGCCTCGGGAAGATGGGGTTGAATAGATCCCACATTGCAAGGACCGATGCTCATGATATCAATCACTGGATTGTCTGGTTCGGACTCGATTATTTACAGACCGCCGTCATACAGCTGGAATATTGCTGAGTGCGGCGTTAAACAACAAACCAACCAACCAACTTCTAATAATACGATCCGGAGAAACTAGTGTTTCTGGGTGATATTGTAACTATTGCTTTAATAAAAGCCGGGCAGGGTGAACTTTGGCAGACACAATGGCAGATTCTGTATCACTTCGGACTTTCTAATTGTCAGTCATGCGAGAGCTGAATTGAAATGAGGAGGTTAATGATACAGTTTACATTGAAGGAGGGTGTGTGATACAATTTATCTTAAAGGTAATTGAAAGGTCGTGGTATGATACAGTTTATCTTAAAGGTAATTGAAAGGTCGTGGTGTGATACAGTTTATCTTAAAGGTAATTGAAAGGACGGGGTAGGATACAGTTTACTTTGAAGGTAATTGGAAGAACGGGATATGATACAGTTTTCTTTGAAGGAGGGTGTGTGATACAATTTATCTTAAAGGTAATTGAAAGGACGGGGTAGGATACAGTTTACCTTGAAGGTAATTGAAAGGTCGTGGTATGATACAGTTTACTTTGAAGTAAATTGGAAGGACGGGGTATGATACAGTTTACCTTGAAGGTAATTGGAAGGACGGGGTATGATACAGTTTACCTTGAAGATAATTGGAAGGACGGGGTATGATACAGTTTACCTTGAAGGTAATTGGAAGGACGGGGTATGATACAGTTTATCTTAAAGGTAATTGAAAGGTCGTGGTATGATACAGTTTATCTTAAAGGTAATTGAAAGGACGGGGTAGGATACAGTTTACCTTGAAGGTAATTGAAAGGTCGTGGTATGATACAGTTTACCTTGAAGTAAATTGGAAGGACGGGGTATGATACAATTTACCTTGAAGGTAATTGGAAGGACGGGGTATGATACAGTTTACCCTGAAGGTAATTGGAAGGACGGGGTATGATACAGTTTACCTTGAAGTTAATTGAAAGGTCGTGGTATGATACACTTTTCCTTGAAGTTACTTGAAAGGTCGTGGTATGATACAGTTTACCTAGAAGGTAATTGGAAGGACGGGGTATGATAAAGTTTACCTTGAAGGTAATTGGAAGGACGGGGTATGATACAGTTTACCTTGAAGTTAATTGAAAGGTCGTGGTATGATACAGTTTACTTTGAAGTAAATTGGAAGGACGGGGTATGATACAGTTTTCCTTGAAGTTAATTGAAAGGTCGAGGTATGATACAGTTTATCTTGAAGGTAATTGGAAGGACGGGGTGTGATACAGTTTTCCTTGAAGGTAATTGGAAGGACGGGGTATGATACAGTTTTCTTTGAAGGAGGGTGTGTGATTCAATTTATCTTAAAGGTAATTGAAAGGTCGTGGTAGGATACAGTTTACCTTGAAGGTAATTGAAAGGTCGTGGTATGATACAGTTTACTTTGAGGTTAATTGGAAGGACGGGGTATGATAAAGTTTACTTTGAAGGTAAGTGAAGGACGGGGTATGATACAGTTTACCTTGAAGTTAATTTAAAGGTCGTAGTATGATACAGTTTTCCTTGAAGTTAATTGAAAGGTCGTGGTATGATACAGTTTACCTAGAAGGTAATTGTAAGGTCGTGGTGCGATACAGTTTATCTTAAAGGTAATTGATGGTCGTGGTGTGATACAGTTTATCTTAAAGGTAATTGAAAGGACGGGGTAGGATACAGTTTACTTTGAAGGTAATTGGAAGGACGGGATATGATACAGTTTTTTTTGAAGGAGGGTGTGTGATACAATTTATCTTAAAGGTAATTGGAAGGACGGGGTATGATATAGTTTACTTTGAAGTTAATTGAAAGGTCGTAGTATGATACGGTTTTCCTTGAAGGTAATTGGAAGGACGGGGTATGATACAGTTTACCTTGAAGGTAATTGGAAGGACGGGGTATGATACAGTTTTCCTTGAAGGTAATTGGAAGGACGGGGTATGATACAGTTTATCTTAAAGGTAATTGAAAGGTCGTGGTATTATACAGTTTATCTTAAAGGTAATTGAAAGGACGGGGTAGGATACAGTTTACCTTGAAGGTAATTGAAAGGTCGTGGTATGATACAGTTTACTTTGAAGTTAATTGGAAGGACGGGGTATGATACAGTTTACCTTGAAGGTAATTGGAAGGACGGGGTATGATACAGTTTACCTTGAAGGTAATTGGAAGGACGGGGTATGATACACTTTTCCTTGAAGTTACTTGAAAGGTCGTGTTATGATACAGTTTACCTAGAAGGTAATTGGAAGGACGGGGTAGGATACAGTTTACACTGAAGGTAATTGGAAGGACGGGGTATGATACAGTTTACCTTGAAGGTAATTGGAAGGACGGGGTAGGATACAGTTTACACTGAAGGTAATTGGAAGGACGGGGTAGGATACAGTTTACACTGAAGGTAATTGGAAGGACGGGGTATGATACAGTTTACCTTGAAGGTAATTGGAAGGACGGGGTAGGATACAGTTTACACTGAAGGTAATTGGAAGGATGGGGTATGATACAGTTTACCTTGAAGGTAATTGGAAGGACGGGGTAGGATACAGTTTACACTGAAGGTAATTGGAAGGATGGGGTATGATACAGTTTACCTTGAAGTTAATTGGAAGGACGGGGTAGGATACAGTTTACACTGAAGGTAATTGGAAGGACGGGGTAGGATACAGTTTACACTGAAGGTAATTGGAAGGACGGGGTAGGATACAGTTTACCTAGAAGGTAATTGGAAGGACGGGGTAGGATACAGTTTACACTGAAGGTAATTGGAAGGATGGGGTATGATACAGTTTACCTAGAAGGTAATTGGAAGGACGGGGTAGGATACAGTTTACACTGAAGGTAATTGGAAGGACGGGGTAGGATACAGTTTACCTAGAAGGTAATTGGAAGGACGGGGTAGGATACAGTTTACACTGAAGGTAATTGGAAGGATGGGGTATGATACAGTTTACCTAGAAGGTAATTGGAAGGACGGGGTAGGATACAGTTTACACTGAAGGTAATTGGAAGGACGGGGTAGGATACAGTTTACACTGAAGGTAATTGGAAGGACGGGGTAGGATACAGTTTACTTTGAGGTTAATTGGAAGGACGGGGTAGGATACAGTTTACACTGAAGGTAATTGGAAGGATGGGGTATGATACAGTTTACCTTGAAGGTAATTGGAAGGACGGGGTAGGATACAGTTTACTTTGAAGGTAAGTGAAGGACGGGGTATGATACAGTTTTCTTTGAAGGAGGGTGTGTGATACAATTTATCTTAAAGGTAATTGAAAGGACAGGGTAGGATACAGTTTACTTTGAGGTTAATTGGAAGGACGGGGTATGATACAGTTTACCTTGAAGGTAATTGGAAGGACGGGGTATGATAAAGTTTACCTTGAAGGTAAGTGAAGGACGGGGTATGGTACAGTTTACCTTGAAGTTAATTGAAAGGTCGTAATATGATACAGTTTTCTTGAAGTTAATTGAAAGGTCGTAATATGATACAGTTTTCTTGAAGTTAATTGGAAGGACGGGGTAGGATACAGTTTACTTTGAAGGTAAGTGAAGGACGGGGTATGATACAGTTTTCTTTGAAGGAGGGTGTGTGATACAATTTATCTTAAAGGTAATTGAAAGGACAGGGTAGGATACAGTTTACTTTGAGGTTAATTGGAAGGACGGGGTATGATACAGTTTACCTTGAAGGTAAT